CAGCCAAGAAGGCAAATGGCATCCTGAGGTGTATCAGAAGGGGTGTGGTTAGTAGGTCGAGAGAGGTTCTCCCTCCCCTCTGCTCCGGTGAGACTGCATTTGGAATATTGTGTTCAGTTCTGGGAGTGGAGCATCTCCGTTATGAAGAGTGGCTGAGGAAGCTGGGTCTGTTTAGCTTGGAAAAGAGGAGACTGAGGGGCGACCTCATTAATGTTTATAAATTTGTAAAGGGCGAGTGTCAGGAGGAAGGAGCCAGGCTCTTCTCAGTGACAGCCAATGACAGGACAAGGGGAAATGGGTGCAAGCTGGAGCATAGGAGGTTCCATGTGAACATGAGGAAAAACTTTTTTACTGTAAGGGTGACAGAGCGCTGGACCAGGCTGTCCAGAGAGGTTGTGGAGTCTCCTTCTCTGGAGACATTCAAAACCCACCTGGACACGTTCCTGTGTGACCTAGTCTAGGTGATCCTGCTCTGGCAGGGGAGTTGGACTGGATGATCTTTTGAGGTCCCTTCCAACTCCTAATATTCTGTGATTCTGTGATTGGAAGGTTGCTATAACCTTCTCAGAGTCTTCTCTTCTCCAGGCTGAACAACCCCAACTCTCACAGCCTATCTTCACAGGAGAGGTGCTCCAGCCCTTTGATCACCTTTGTGACCCTTCTCTGTGCATGTTCCAGCATTTTGATGTCCTTTTTGTGTTGGGGGCTCCAAAGCTGGACACAGTACTCCAGGTAGGGTCTCACCAGAGCAGAGTAGAGGGGCAGAATCACCTCCCTCAATCTGCTGGCCACGCTTCTTTTGATGCAGCCCAGGATGTGGTTGGCCTTCTGGGCTGCAGATGCACATTGGTGGCTCATGTCCAGCTTTTCATCCACCAGTACCCCCAAATCCTTTTCCTCAGGGCTGCTTTCCAGCACATCATCTCCCAGCTTGTATTGGTAATGAGGATTGTCCCAACCCAGGTGCAGGACCCTGCCCTTGGCCTTGTTGAACCTCATGAGGTTCATCTGGGTCCACTTCTCCAGCTTGTCCAGGTCCCTCTGGATGGCATCCCATCCCTCTGGCACATTAACCTCACCACTCAGCTTGGTATCATCAGTGAACTTGCTGAGGGTGCACTCAACCAATATCGTTAATGAAGGTATTAAACAGCACTGCATAAGGGGAGCTGCCTCCAGAGCTGCCTGTGTGATGGAAAACACCACACGTCTGGTGCCCCGGTTGTTAAGCCAGCTCCGCTGTCATATGCTGAAACTGTAGAGAGCTGAGGTGAGCAAAGCAAAGGTTCACGGAGCATACCTTATTTAAAACTAAATAAACACAAAAACCTAGAGAACAACTTAGGTCTGTAAGGGAATATATGCAAATCAGTGAGTGTGGGTGTGTTCAGACAGGAGGATCCATAACCTTTGAGCCACCCAGCTGGGCACTGCTCCCCTCTTCACAGAGAAAACTGTGGATCTAAGCAAAAGTCTCACAGCCCAGCCTCTATCAAAGCCATATTAGTGTCTTAAATCCAGAGGACACTACCTATAAGTCTTTGATCCAGCTCTGTGCACTGCTGCAATTGGATCTTTACTGCATAATAAAAGTGATGGTGGATTTCTATTTCCAGTGCTGGGCTGGGCACAGATCACACTCTCATATATGAGTTAAACCACAGTTTAATTTGAAGGAAGTCTCTCCTTGACCTCAGTGGACTGAAGCACATAACTGCACACAAAAAAGGGATTAGGAATGGAATATGCTGGTGCTATAAAATGCTGTGGCATGATACAGGCAGGCAATTTTGAAGTGGTGCTTCTTTCCTTAATAGAAAAGGCAGAGTTGGAAAACAATAAAGTCCATTGTTTACTCAGATGATCTTGATCTGCCAACATGATAAAAATGATGTGATATTTTTTTGCTCTTAGTGAGCAGGCTAGTCTGCATATATGTAATATAAAGAAGAGAGAAAAGAGTGGTACCAGAAAGAAAATGAATGTAGTATCTTGACTCATTTAATTCAAGTGCCATCACTCTCCATGAAGGAAAAAGCAAATAAGAATGATGGTACTAATCTAGTCCTCAAGAAATAACTAGCCACAGCTTAAAACTATGATAGAAAAGCAGCAAGGTCAGGACTAGAACAGCTATAATTTATAAAGTTTGGGGTGGAAATGAAGATGAAGATTTTTTAAATAACCTGGATTTTAGGTGATATACAACTAAGCTTTCAGCATTTATGTTCACCAAACTCACCAAATAAACAGATTCTGAAATGGTCATGGAATAGAAATCATTCAAGAGATTTTAGGAATTGCACGCTGCTTGTGTACTACACTTTGGTAATATTCCTAACTCATGAGTATTCCTCCGATCTAGTGGTTTTCTTTTTCATTTACATAGATATGGAACACATTAATGAGAGAAATTAAGGAGAATGGATTGCAGCAGTATATTAATTTATGATGGTATTTTAATCACTATAAGAATAACTCAGCATGAATATATCTGGGGAAAGTAATTTACTATAATAACTAAAACTGGAAATACAACTTTTTCAGAAAAGCAATAATGAGAAATGTATTTTTTGCTTGATGAAGAGGTAAGGAGGGAAGATGTATTTTGAAATACAATAGAGATTGATCAGTGAGAAAAAAAACATTAGACACTAAAAGCCATTAAGCTAATTTACTGAATAAATTCTAGAAAATAAAATCTAGCATGCATTTGTTTTAATGAAAGCCAGGTATGAATTATTTCAAATTACACCTACATTTCAGATGCATATGCAACTTTTACCATATTGAATCACTAAATGCAATTGTATAAGAAAAATTCTCTGCTGACCTAAATAGATTTCTCTCCACTTTCAGATGGAAGAAAAAAACTCCATGAGGATGTAAATGCAGGAGCACTATATTTATTTTCTTATAGCTTTCTCCTCTTCAGATAACATATTCTCTTATATGCTTACTTGTTCCTGGCCGGGCATCAGAAACATCCACCAGTGGTCCTGTAGCTTGTGACACAGACTGGTAATGTACTGTGTGGGTGACCGTCAGTGACTTCTGCTTAGACGTCTCTCCAAAGTCAGCATCAGTGAGCAGAACTGTTGACCTGTCATCTGTGAGTAAAAAAATCCATCAGATAATGAGTAACAAATTTCATAAGAGCTTTATATCAAGTCCCCAGACTTATTTTCAGCTGGGTGCCGCCACTGACAGTGGCAGCTCTGTCTCTTCTGCAGGACTGAAGATGGCTTTGGAGTGTGTACCACAGCTTGGGAGCCTCTGGGTTTAAACTCAAAGTTCATGCAAAACTAAAGGATAAGTGTAATATGCATGTCTGCCTTTGTGATTTCACCTTAGAGACATGCAACTAAGATAGACTATTAAGCATCCTTCCAAAAAGCTATTGTGTGTAATTTTTTTTGGCCCTAATTCCTTCTTTCTCATTATTTGAATGCTGCCCTCTTCCTCTTCATTTTCAAAGAGCTCAGATGAGCTTTTCTAAAATATATTACATTTATTTATTTTTATTGACATAATTAGTAATGTTCTTAGTGAAATCACTCATGTGTTTCCAAAAGGAAGTCATTAGGTAATGTTGCAAACTAACCCTCTAACAGTCCCCTTTTTCTCCAGGGACAGAATGTTGCAGAAGGGACAGGCGTGACCAAGACTATTCTTAGGGAGCTGCTTATTTTTAAGCACAAAACTACCTTAGTGAAGACAATGGAAATATACTTCTAGGGCAGCTAAGCATCCTTAAGTCCACTGTTTTGCTGTTCTGGAAGCTAAGGACTAAGTCCTACCACTCTCTCAGCACTAAACCTCATTGTTGTATATTTGGAAAAATGAGCTTTGGGGAGCTTTATGTGAGTTGTATAAGTTTCTCTCAGCATAGTCCAGCTGACTATGGGCTTTCCTGCAGCTGCAAAGAAAGATGTGAGGTGAAGCTTGACCTTGGGAAGGACTGGAAGAAAAAGATGAGCACTGACCTTTTCCTGCTGTATGGTTCTGCTGTCTATTGCTTCCCTATGGGGTAGGATATATTCACCAAATTTGTACACAGGCCTTGATCCTTGCAGAAAGCCAGTGCTATACAGCTTTTACGCTTTTTTTTCCTTAATTTCTTTTTTCTTTTTTTTTTTCTTTTTTTTTTTCCCCCCAACTGTGATGCCTGTATTGTATTTCTTTTGCTCCAAAAAGGAACCCAGTCCACTTGATCATGGGAGGTTTAACAGTGCTAAAACTTCCACTGACTTTGTGTTTGCAGAACAATTGTTTGCATACTATCAGACTTTCTCTTGCATTCTTTACAGTCTTTTTATCCATCCATAATAGTAATAAAAGCTTCAAGAAGTTCCTGTTATGATATCCTATATAGCTTTGTAATCCAATTCTAAGGAGACTGTCAGCAGTTGGGCTTCTATCCATTTACTAGTCAGCAGAAGTTGATCCACTTCTTCTAAGCATTCCTGTTTTTTGTTTTTTTTATTTTTAACTTGACAAGGCGAACAGTTCTGCACAATAACATAACTACCATTTTTTACCCAAAGAAGGCCATAAATAGAATGAGCATTATGAAATCAAATTACTCTGTTTATGGCAAAAGATGAGCTCTTATTCAGGTTGGGAATAAAGCCTCTTGGCAGTAAACTGTGTCAAAGACTGCCAAAGTGCCTGCTCATTCTGAGTGCTTTGAGGAGAGCTCGCTATTACCAAGGCAGTGATCGCATTGTTACCGTTAAGGCAGTAATGATGTTTCCACTATAACACCCTATTGCTCAACAACTGTAACTCGAAAAGTAAAAACTGCCTTTAGAATAAAGCTTGGCACAAAAGACTGCATCGCAGAGGCAAACTTCGAGAAGTTCAAATCAGGATTAAAAGAAGTCTGTATTTCAGGTGAAGCATAGCTCTCCTTTTCAAATCCGCAGCACAAACTGTGAAATGTCCTCTAAGGTCACCCCACCATGCCAGACTGAGAGCAAGTGGGACAGCGTACAGGGCTAAAGCAGCTCGTCCCTCCCCAGTGCTGGGCATGGACAGGAGATGCCTGTCTTCTTCTCCAGCCATGTCATCCCTGGAATGCTCTTAAGTTCTCACCCATCACAGGCTTCTTCTACACAGATTATGATCCAAAAAATTTAGAAGTCTAACAAGAGCAGTCATTCTGCAGGGTCTTGGCTCCGCGTGTACCCATACAGTCAAGAGATCTGGTTGTAATTTTATTCTGTTGCAGTTTCAGAAATCTTGTGTTTAAATTATTTGGAAAATAACCCAACTCTAAGCAATTCTGTTTTTCATGACACTTCAAGTATGTGCCAGCCACATGTGACATCTTGTTTTCTGTTGTGTGAAACAGTTCAGATTTAAATTCTGCATAGACACACAAAAGCTGAAAACTGATCAAAATGTTGAAATATCATTTGATATGAACAGGTGGATACAATATGCAACAAGTAAGTTTTAGAAGCTGGCTGTTGCAAATCTTTAGATACTGATGTAGTAGTTTCAGAATTTCATTTTCCTCATAAGTAATTCCAGTGATCCAACTGTTTAGTCAAAGCCAAAAGAGAAATAAAAATGAAAATCATGAAATTGCCAGTCTTAATTTACATTTTCTTCCAGCGGCTCTTTCCACCAGCTTCATTTTCCTAATGTCCTGCATTATTTTAAATATTGTACTGATATTACTTAAAGTGGAATAGGATTCATAGGGGATGAAAAAAAAGGTCAGTTTTCAAATCTGGAAAGTTCCTTTCTAGCCTTTTTTTCTTGATGTGTGCAGTGAGGACAAAAGGTGTGGGATAAAGGAAATCAAGCTAAATTGCCTGTTACATTAACCAGTGCAAACAAGGCCAACAGGAGTTTTACCAATGGTCTCCATTGTGTCCCTCTCCTCGATGAGAAGCTGTGCTCTGGGAATGTCTATGTGCATCCTCAGTGTTTGCTGCTGTTTATTAAGTGTATCTGACGTCCTGGTGTTCTTGCTAAAAACAAAAGAGAGGCAAATGTATTTACATTCAGCCTGAATGAAAATATACTTGCAAACTTCCTCATTTTAGATCTGCTCAGCTCAAACAAAAAATAATAGAATCACAATCAGCGAAATACTCATACAATTTATTTTCCCCTTCTCATTACAAGTGCGTGTTATTAATTTGTTGCACATGACAAGCAGTTAGATGAATGCACAGTGTTGAGGGATTTGGTCTGTTTTTTATCACCAGTGATCTCCTGAAAATTTTATACAGTTTTCTTCAAGTACTTTCCTATAATGGAATTAGTAAAAACACCTTCCAAGATGGACCTTTTCTTTCATTCCTCATGAACATGAGTAATGAAACACACAGATAAAAAAACAGTTAGTAGAAAAATTACGTCTTGAGTAATTTCTAATTATTTTTTAAACTTTTCATTGTTTTTCATTAGATAAATTTAAAATATCACTAGAACTGATTAATGAAAAAGCAAATTAATAACTAAGCATTCATTAATAAATTGCATAAAATAAATAAAGGTTTTCTGTCCCATTGGTGTTACAAGAGTAAAATTACAAATCTTGTTTACATTCATGGATTATTTCTAATTGATTGATGCAATATTCTAAAAAAGCACATAAAGCAATTATTCTATCATAATCTAAATTGAAACAATTTCATTTTGAAGTTCTTGTACCAGAAAATGACTTCTTAAATGAGCTGTCTACCAAACGAAAATGAAAATGGATAGTAAAACAGAGTGCTGCAATAATTTTTAGTACAGAGCTTGAACCGAGAAACCTTCAGACTGCACTAAAAACCCAGAACTTTTTGCCCTTTTAGATGTAATTACTCTTTGGAGGAGAGGAAATATTTGCAAATATGTCTTTACCCTGGGAGGGTGAGGAAAGTTAAGGCAAATCAGCCAGTAGTGTGATCCAAGTACTCACACTTCAGAGAGATTTAAAATCCAAGTGAAGGCTCATTTTCTACTGTGAAATAGCTATAGATCACTCGGTTTAATTCTCCTTTGGCAATGAATTATTATTGTTAATGGAATCAGCAGAGGACTATTAAGCTGCTCGATGATAAGCTCACTTCTTTCCTAAGTGAGGGCCCTGACATAGGAGATAAATGCATGTGTGATGAGCCCACATCTCTAGACAATTTGCCTTAACTTCCTGATATTCCACATGAGCAAGACCTAACTCCTGCAGGTTTGGAGGTTCTCCTAGAGTCCTTTTTAGGAGGAATTTCCCTGTCACGACGTCTGTAATTCTGCTCCAAATCCAAAAGTGCGATCTGCAAGGCACACAGATACACCTCTCTGGCTTATTCTCACCTTCTGGCTTTCCCTGCTCTTGTGGTCCCCAGCATTACCACTGTCTACACATCTCAAACTTCAATGTCTCTGTCTTTACCTGGGTGGTTAGGTGACACTGTTGCCATCATGTATAGATAGATAGCTGAAATGCATTCAAACAGACTCCAACCGGTGTCTCATTTAATCATAATGAAAGCAAAATAGCAGAAAAGCTACCCAAGGGCTGCCAGACTTGTCTCCATATGTAACCATTGGAGAATAGTAGTCACGGTGTCTTATTAACCACATAAATTTTCAAAGACATTTAGGATCCTGAAATGCAGATACTTTTCACATTGATGTTCTCGAAGTCTCTGCAAAGTCTCTGCATGGATTAGATGCCACTCTCTATTGGTTTCCACTCAATCTGCTGAAATTTTGAGAGAATCAGAGAGACTAATGTATTATCTACATGTCAAATATGCTTGGATACATGCCCTTGAGAAGTCAGACTACTTTGGGCTTGTCCAAAATAATAGAACAAACTTGTGATCAAGTAGAAAGCCGAATTTCTGAGATCCAGTTTCAATTAATAATCAATAATCCAATAGTTATTTGATACTATAGTTATTGTAATAATTGTTATTAATAGTTATTTTGATAATCAGATATGTATAGAATCTGTGAAATATGTAATTAAGTCTAATAAATACATCAGTGCACCCCTCCTTCACTTACCAGAGACACTGAAGACAAAGGGACCAAATAATTTTCCTCAGAGAATGCCAATCCCACAATCCTGGTGAGAGCTATAAAGTATTCTGCAGTATGAATGCTTTGTATTCCTACTACTGCAAAGTGCTCAACCAAACAGACAGTATCGTCTGGACCACAGAGAACAGGAGTACAGTTCCTCAGGTTTGCAGTTGTATTGCTCCCCTGCCAAGAAGGAATTCTGAATCCCATTCTTGGCTCCAGGGATAGTTTTATGGAAAATATGTGGAAGGTCCTTCAAGCCAGAAGTGGAACCCAGGCCTCTATATATTGAGAAAAATTCCCCACTATGCTCGACAATTATGCCTTGTCTTGTGCGCTCTCTCTCTTCCTCCTTACCGGTCTAATTAATTCTTCTGTGTGCAGCAGCATGGTGTCATGGAGTGTCCAAACACAGAACAGGCAACTGGCAGCAGCAAGAGGGTTGCTGCTGATCAGCATGCTATCTACTTCTGGCTCAAGGAATTTTGAATTCTTTTTTTGCAGACCACAGTAGCTGAACCTTGAGGTTATAAAAACCTAAAGTGCCAACAGTTAGAACTTGGCAGTGAGGCAAAGATTTTTAGGACTGCAATTTTGAAGTTTCCTGCCCAAGTGTTTTCTAACCTAGGAAAATCCAGGCATCAAAGAATTATAACAGTCTGGTGGGAGTCCAATGATTAATTGTTTAAAGGGAATAAACACATCTACCTGTATTTTCCTTAACCTACAGACATAAAATCCCCAAGCTTAAACATGTGCTATGGCTATTATTTACTAGTCAGACCTTGTAAGGATCTGTGTATAGTACAATTAATTCTCTCTGGTTCAATGTATCTCTGAGCTCCAAAGTGTGAGAGGCTGGGAGTCTGTGTGGGAAATGAGTCAGTGTGTTTGCTGTAGTCTTTTACTCTACCCAGCTGTCTGCTTTTGGCCACTACGAAAGACAGATACTTGAGTACGTGGGCCTTTGGGTCTGTATGAGTACAGGTTTTATGTACAGGCTGTGGATAAATGAGCCATTTTCCAGAACAAGTACAGTATGTAATATATTTTGAAAGAGTTTGCATAGTTAAAAGCTTGCCCCCTTTTATATAATCTTTCTAGATCTTTACTAAAAAGACACTTGAGTGACTGAAAATATCTGTATGCACAGAAGATGGTTAAGCTTACAAAATGAATTATAAAAAGGGATTAAATATGGTGATCTGTAAACCCAAAGTCATTCTGGCTTCTTGGCAGAGAGTCAAGCCACCTCATGGCTTCCTGATGTCAAAGCTAGCTGCTCTAAAACCATACCCAAAACTGAATCATGTAAATAATCAGCCCAACAGAGGGATATTCAGTGAGAAAAGATTCCTCACCTTGTGTTTAAAATTAGAAAGCTCAATGAATTGCTATACTAATTCACAATGAACTGTTAAAAAGAAGTTGACTGAATCTATGCTTTCAAAAGAAAAATAAAAAAGCTGTGATTGTACAGCAACAGAAATTTTCATTTGCTAGTTTAAGGCATCAGCAACAAGTTGTTCAGCTCTCAAGTAGGGCTTATCCTGCTTCCCAGACATTTGACTTACACAGCCAAAGCCAGCAACTTTGGAAGCAAAGACTAAAACTCCATTCTTAATCTGCTTTACACACACTCATAAAAATCTCCTCAAAGGAGAAGATACACAAAGCTCTCTCCATCCCTTACACCTTCCCACCAAGCAGGGTATCCTCTTTTCTACTTTCTGGCTAATAAATAAACACCAAGGCACAACCTACAGCTTACCCTCTTTCTCGATACTTTTATCATAGCAGATTTTGGTGAAATCTAGAAGATATAAAATGTCAGGAGCTTTATAATATCTAACTATTGCTTTGAAGAGGGCTTATTATCCTTTGATTATTAACATGCTAAATCTTCAGGAACATCTAGTCATGGCAGGTAGTTCAGGTTTTGATTGGAGGTATTTCACAGGTTTGTCACAAGTGACAGGACATTTAGCCTGTAGAAAGCAAGATCCCTAAAACAGCATCACTTTGAGAGCTCCAAGTTATGATGTGTCTGCGAATGTAAGCATATATCCCCTACTTGCTCTTAAGTCCTGTTCTTGTAGTCCTTTGCTTTGTTCACGCTTTCAGAAGAGAAAGATAAAATATGACAATTTAATAACAACATACTATTTGTAATAAATGAGATGGGAGAAACTGACTTGATTATTGTATTTCAATGCTGGTGAAAGCAAAACTAAATGGTGGTGGATCAGTTACCTAGAACAACAGCTCTGAACTAAAGGCTGAGAAGGGGCCTGACTGCTCTCTGAGTGCATCAGGTGGGGAGGGCAAAAGCAGCTTTTCAATTTGAAGGCTGACACTGGCAGAGGAAAAACCGGGTCAAAACTGGGCACTTATGTTGGCTGTTTGATAGAGTTTTCTAAGTGTCAGAGGAGTGAGACTCTGAAGTGGCCTTGCAGAGGTGGTAGTAAGACTAGTGAAGCTAATCAAGGTTACAGCAGAGGTTTGCCAGTTTTGCAGAGGTATGTGTGGTTGTCACTGGGATTGACTATCATCACCCAGGAGTCTGCGTCATCCAGTCTGTGCTCGATTTCTTTAGGGAACAGACTTGCTGCCTATGCTAATCTGTGCTTTTTTCTGCAACACTGAAAAATATCAAAACATATCCTCCAGAAGTTGCTTAAACCTGCAATCTGCTGCTAGCAGGGGTTTCTAAGTGGCACATAGGAATGGTATGACCTGACCTGCATGACTGGTCTTGTTAACGTCAGTGGGACTGTTCAGATGTATTTGCAGACTGATGGCATAGAGCTGAATTTACACTTAAACAATCTGTCATTTGTCTTTGGTAAGTATATTCTTACAACAGCAGGTGAAGTTTATCACGGGTGAGGAAGTTTAGAGTACGGTTCATCTGGTAAACTATCTACAGTATTCTCAAATTTTTTGCTTAAAACTAAAATATTTTCTAGCAAACCAAAACTCATTTGAACTTAAAAATAATCCTTTGGTGATCCCATTTTCAAATATATGCAGCAATTTTAAAGTTCAATATTTTCCTTAGACAAAACAATAAACATTGAAGATATAAAATTTCCATCTTTGAAAGAATTGTGGTGCCAGAATTGTCATTCTATTGCAATTCAACAACTGAATTAGATTTCTGGATGCTGAGCTGATGAAACAAAACCAAAAAATAATAGATGGATTTACCTGCTCTTTTATACCCTTGGGTATAAGCAGCTAACAATGGTGAATTACAAAAATATAACTGTAAAGTTTAGAGATATTCACATCCAGGCACATACTGCCTTCAACCAGATGATCTCTGAAGAGCAATTACTTTAGTACATATTATGAAAACATTTTTCTGAGTTGGAAAATGTGCAAATGGACCTACATAGCTTCTATAATTTAATCTACTAATACAAGAGTTCTCAGAATTTTACCATTGTATTTCCTCACATATACTGTTCACAAATTGTCTTTTTTCTCTCATTTCTAGCCAACAATGTGTCCTAGTTCTTAACAGTCAAATGCAGTGTTTTGAAAAAGGATTTAGGAATAGAAGATTTTCTTCTCCTTTTGACCCTGTAATAATTTGTAAATATGATGTCATAGTTGACAGACATTTTTCAATTTAAAAACATTAAATCTATTCTTACCTCATAAGCATTTCAGCCAAACTCTTTGCATCTAGAAGAAAATAGAAGAAATGTCACCACAAATGGAAATCTATTTGATAGATGGATTATTAGGAAGTGATTTGAATCAGCCATGTTTGAGACTAATGTTGTTTCTTAGATCAGTGACAAGCATAAAAAAATCTCTGAAAGTCCCCATTTTTGCTGAAACTGCATTTCACTGCATTACATCTTTCTGCCCCAGAAAGCCTTGGTTAGTTCCTCAGTAGTACCAAAAATCCTTAGAGAAGTACAAGCTACCATTGGTTTAACTAGAAAAAAAATTACTTAAACTTATTAGAAGTAGAAACAGTTTAACAAATAACAGGGCTCTCTGTTCCTTCATGCTAAAGTTAGCAAGTGAACAGGTGAGGAGGGAAGAAAAGGCAAGAAGACAGAAATCTTGACATCCATCTCTGGGTACGAGCCAAACCCAAGCTGGATGAGCAATTGCCAACCTGCCATTTCCAAACCAAACCTGTCTGCATGGAGGTCTGAGCAAGGGAGGTCTTGTATATTTTTTCACTAGCAATAAATCAAAATTACTACTGGGTCTTCAGAGGACAGTCTATACACAGAACAGGAGGTGGCTTATTCCCGCATGGACCACCTCTGCAAAATGAGGTGCTGTTGACAGAGAAGTATTACTCTTCTTGTTGTCATTGCTGTTTTTAATAGCATAAAATCCTCTGGGGATATCATTATTCTGGTACCTATCAAACCAAAGGACATAGCTGAAGATTTGTTTACCCAGTGTTCTTCAGGTAGCTTTCTGTAAAACTTTATCAAGATAATATAATAATTTCTGTATCAGTATACAGCAAAATTAGACAGCTATGCTTTGTTCTCCTGCAGTCTGCTGCTAAACAAAGTCACTTAAAAATGCTGATTCCAGAGTCCTTAAGTATATCACACAGTAACAAAGCAGCCTTTTGTGCAACCAAGTGAAGCAAATCTGAGAAGAAAGCCATTCCAAGTCCTAAGTCTTCAAGGAACTCTATTATGTGAAACTTTATATTTCTTCTCTTATCTTCTGCTTGTAAATCTACCAGCACCTGCCAAGATACTTATTGAATTTGTCTTTGTTTTCTCCCTCTCACTTCTGAAACCTTTTTTATTCTTTAGTCACCTCTTTGGTCTCCTTTAACTACAACAATTTCGTTGCTTGTGTTCCTGGTAAAAATCCTGCCTTTAAAATTCAGAGGATGCAGGCAGAAACAAACCACCATCTTAATCACTCAGGCTGTATTTGTATTCATTTTAAAAAGTGATGGACAAAGAGCTCTTTTAATTCACAACAAAAACCCAAACTAACAAAACCCTATGCATCCACTTTTTACATTCTGTTTCTCTGACACTGTGCCAGCTTGCCTGCCTTAGGATTTATTCCTCACCTACTACTGGAGAAGCGGAAATTCTGCACTTCCTCTGGGTCTGTTTGCTCCCCTTCTTTATCTTTAACTTTCCTCTATCTCTTTTCAGCACAAAGCATGGTAGATTTCTGGTGAAGGGAAGGACTCTTCATCTGATATGTCCCATCTAATCCAAACAGTGCTCCATTTAGGCACTCAGACTCACTATTTTTCACTTTGTTTGTTAACAGCCTCTTGCTGTTAACACATTTATAAATGGTACTACATAGTAGATGACAATGACTTCATGATCAGTCATATACCAAACTACCACTGCTGTTGCTCCCAAATGACATCAGAGGTAGTTTTGCTAATGGCTTCTAAGGGCTCAGGAAGGGACCCAGTTCTTTTGAAGAATACAAAAAAAAATGGAGTTCCTGTTCCAAGTCATGTTTTTTTCAGCAAACTATGATGCTCATTTTCATTCTAGCAGCACCAGAATCATGAAGAGACTATGCACACATTCTGCCTCTGGTAAACCTACCTGATAAGAGTGATTTAATATGCAAATATTATTTTAATTCAGCTAGCAGCTTTTGTGAAGCAATTGCTGCCTCTTTAAGTGAAGACTATGGATACTTGTGTAATTCACAAGTCAAGAAAAGCTGAAGGGACAAAGCTGAAGGTTTCTTGACCTGACGTAATTCAGTTTGTTTTTTAGATTTGTTTACCAGGATTAAATGACAAACCACCTCCCTCACACGTTCTTGGGTGCTGCACAGCATATAACTGTGTTCCATGTTGCATCTGAAAAAAGCGTTGCATTCTCACCAATAAATGTTTGTGGTATATATTCAAATACACATTAACAGATATGCATTCTTGGTCAAAGAGATGCAAAGGAGACTGTGCCTCTTCAGTCAAAAATAACATGAGGTATCATGCAAGATCACATTGCATGTCAAAAAGCAGAACAAGGAAGTACCTCAGGAAAAAAAACTAACTCCAGCAAGAGAGTTTAAATGTAATAATTATTTAAGAGGATTACAATAGTCAGCAGCACTACTGTAATTAATGATGGCTGTACTAGGCACACAAGTTAGTGAAAGACTGAACCAAAACAGATGTCCCAAGAAGACTAGGGATCTTATGTATCTGTCAAAGCAAAACCAGGAAGCCTAAAAGCAACTAAGTATGGTAGCACTGTGTCCAAAACATCAGCCACCGAAGAAGTTTCAGAAACTAATGAGTACAGGCTACAGGTTGTAGTATGTATTTCCTACATTAGATTTTTGATCACCAAATTGAGAATACTCATGAAACAGGACAGTATCCCTGTCAGTGTCCTATCTCCTGGTTTTCAGGTGGGGAAAATATGGCTTGGGGAGGCCATGAATGACAGAGTGAAAAAGATAAACTGCCCCTCACTGTGGGTTTGATGCATGACTATGCCGACAGGCACCGACCCAGTGACAGCCCTCACTTCTATTTGCTGGAGCAGCCACCTTTAAAATTCCTAACACATTTGGCTTGCCCCCTGGGAAATCAGAGGCCGTGATAGAGTTTTAAATTGCATGCTGCCACTTCTGAACTATCATGCTATGCTGACACTTTCTGCTTGGATTAAGGTGAGTTGGATTTAAAAACAAAGGGAAAACTATTTACGGTAGTAGTGGAGCTAGGTTAATAGTAAGGAGAAAGAGTGGTAATTCATCAGGTTCCTCTGTTATAAAATATGCTGACTAATGTAAAAGCTGCTGAACTCCAACAGTCAGTTGACCTTCTCGTGACCTGACCTATAGAACTACTAAACTGGGCAAAAATCAGGGCTTTGATGAAAACTACATTTTCTTTCTAAGCAAGAGTTCTCCTGTACAAATAAACCATACTGGGCATGACACAGGAGGAAGACAAAGGTTTACCTGTCCCTACATGCTAAAACAAGGAGGGAAAGGATTAGGAGTGGAGAGACTGCCATCTTATGCTACATTTGCCCCACATAAACTGGAACCACAAACTCATCGTCTATAAGAACAGATACAAATGTTTGCATACATTTGTACTGCAAATAAATTTGCAATTCCCACTCCTCTTTGTCAAGCAGGTTCAGAGAAAACACATCTCCTGGAGCTGCAAAGGAAAGAATGCAATTTGTACCTTGTATGAATCCTCTTAGAAGGTTCCACTGTGGCTACTATTCTTTCTTATGTAGACTAGAAGAAAGTCGATGGTGGAGTCATGATTTAGGAAAAATGAGTCCTGTGCCTCAAAGAAACACCACCAGGTGATACATATCAACTGATAATGACAGGATTTATTTTTCAAAACTAATTCAGATGGAAGTTGAACACAATAACTACTAAAACACAACATTTTTTTTAGTTAGGTGATCAGAAAAACTTGCAAACAGGGTTTTTTAGAGAACTTACTAAGGAGTTCTCTGGAACAGCAATAGTAATTTTCAGTAAGACTTTTAGAACATGAAGTACTCTCTAGAAGAGCAGAAAATGGCTAATATGGGATCAGTCTTCAAGAAGAACGAACAAAACCATCTGAATTGCTGAAGACCTATCAATCTGATCTTGGAAATGAAAAAAATAATGAGGAAAATGGAATGAAGCTTGATGAAATGAATTAAGGGAGATGGAATAATTGGGGCCAATCAATACAGACTTGTGGTCAATCAGCCACATCCCACAAAGTTGAGTTTTTAAAAATGAGATTGAAATTCATGGAGCATTGGTGACATTGGGAAAATTCTCACTGAGATATGATTAAATGACACTAAACCATTGTATTTATATTTCTCTAGAATGAAAATTTGGTACCTCAAAATATTTTAATAAGCAAAGTAGTATGATGTAAAAAATTACCACAGCAGCCATTTTACATGGGTTTCAACATATTCAAAATACACTTTTAAGAAGAGAATAATTGTTTATTATTTCTTTTCACCATGCACCATGAAACATCACACCATTAGTAGTTTTACCAGTTGTTTGAAAATTAAATTAAATCATATCTGATAAAAGTTTGAAAATGACACAAGAATTAGATAGCTAAAATATAATGAAGATGCCATGTCACTAAGGCATAACAATCTGGATCATCAGGTAGACTAGCTGCAAATTAGCAAAATATAGGTATTAGTATAAGGTCATATATCATGAATACAAGCCATAGCTACACAATGGACAATATTATCCTGTTGCGCTGTAATCAGAGAATTGTCAGACGATCTCAACAGATAAGATGGTAAATGCAAACTCTTAAAATAATGCTGCACCCAAAAAGGTGATCTTTGCAGATGTAGACAGAAGACCATAAAAGGAAAGAAGAAAGGCTATTACCTCTCTATCTGATGCTGATATCACTTGATTACTATCACGTAAAAGGAATATCCTGAGAGACTGAAAATATGATATGAACTTCAATCCCTGTATGGCAGACAGAAGTATAACAGGACCAGATGGCTGGGATGTTGAGCTGCAGCTTGACAAATTCAGACAAGAAATGAAACAAAACTTTTACAAAAATGGTGGTTAAATACTGACAACTTTAATCAAAAGTACTGCTGAATTCTTTGTCACTGCCTATGTTTAAGTGAAGATCAGATATTTTTCTAAATTCCTATATTCTCAGAGGAAATAATTCAGAAAAGTTTTATGTTATGCAAGAGCCATACTGGCCAGTGATCATCAGCCTTCCTTAAGGGACTGTAACTCAAGAATCTATGAATACTTGTAAATTAACCATGAAAAACTAGATGTGCACAGACACTATTTCCTGGAGCCAAGGAGCTCAAAATATCCCGCTCATTACTGGATGGAATCCTACAGTATTTCTGAGGAGATAAGATAACACTGTCTTCACCCTTAACCCACTGCTTTATTATGAAGAAAACTGCACAGAGGTAAATGACTTAAAAGATTTTGAATGATAAAGTTATGATACAAACTAAAGCATCCAGATGCTCTGATTTCCAGAGCTGTATATGAACTCTAAGGCTGGTTGTCCTTTTCAATCTACAAATTTGCCCATAACTAAGAGTCCTATATCTCTGTCTCTTTTTTGCAAAAACATCCAAAATATTGTTACGAAAGACAAAATGAGACCTAAAAAAGAGATGAGCAGATGCTAAGGTGTATTGGGTTTCTGTAAGGTTTGGGGTTTTTTGGTAGTGGGTGAGGGCTAAGGAGATACCTTCTCTCAGAAGAGGCTAGAAGGTCCCCTGGCTCCAATTTCTGACTGACCTCTGACCACGGCCAAGCCAATAAATGCCTCTGTGAATGAAGTATTTAAGAGGGGTGCAACACATGGCCTGCTCTCTCTTGCCCTGGCCCAAACCAGTGTGGCACTGGCATGAGCAGCGTTGACGTGACCTGGCTGATCTGGACCAACCCCAGCTCAAGCCCAAGCCCCACTGCAGCTCCAGCCCAAGGGAGCTGGGAACTCTTCAAGAGCTAGTGGAAGAAACTTGCAGAAGAGAAAGGAGTGGGATGTGAGGAGAACAACTGTGAAGACACCAAGGTTGGTGAAGAAAAGAGGAAGGTGGGGAGAAGGAGGTGTGCCAGAGCAGAGATTCCTCTGCAATCCATGGTGAGAGGGGAGGTCAACCCGCCTGCAACCTGTGGAGGTTTAACGGTGGAGCAGTGATCCACATGAGAAGGTGGACTCCATGGGCAGTGTGTGCTGGAGCAGTCTATGGGAAGGACTACACCATGTGGAAGGGAAACCCACACCAGACCAGGTCGTGAGGAACCTGCAGCCATGGGCAGACCCACAGAGAAGTTCATGGAAGACTTTCTCCTGTGGGAGGGACACCATGTGGAAACAGAGGAAAGAGGGGGAGGAGTCCTCCCTACCCGTAAAGAGGAAGGAGCAGCAGAGACAGCATGGGATGAACTGACTGCAACCCCCATTCCCATCCCCCTGTACTGCTGGGTGAGAAGGAGGTAAAGAAACCAGGGACAAACCTGAGCCTGAGAAAGGGAGGGGTGGGGGAAGGCATTGACTTTGAGACATGATTGTACCTCTCACTATTCTATTCTGATGCTACTGATAACAAATTAAATTGTTTGTCTTTTTCTCCTCAGATTGAGTCTGTTTTGTTTTACCTGTGACCATAAGTGGTGAGTGAACCCTCACTGTCCTTTTTTCCTAGCCCATGAGCTCTTTGTTATATTTTCTTCTCCTCATCCCACTGGAGGAGAAGTGCACGAGCAGGCCTCGTGGTGCTCAGTTGCCCACTGGGCTTGAACCATGACATAAGGTGAGATGGAATACACAGAGTTGGCCCTGGTTTTCATATATATCATAATCATATTTGGAAATAATTAAACATTTTTGCAGATGAGAAATCACTTTGCTATTTATTCAGCATGTGATTTGAAAGGCTTTTTCCTAAATAACTTCAGTGTGAAGTCTGCTATCACGTGCTAGTGCAAATCCTACAAGGCCAAGTGCAGAAGTGGCAGACTGCAAGGATCAAAAACCTGGTTGTGGCTCAACCACGCATATTTACTAGGCAATTGATAAAGTTAAATGAATTCACAGATCTAAAACTTATTCACATAGCAAACACCTGAATTTGAATAAAGATTAGAGAAAAGTACAGATCACCAACAATGAAAGGTCAGTGAAAACTGAACTGGTGTTGTAATAGTTCTGTTATAATACATCATAGGGAAAAAGATGTGGTAGAAAATCTGAGAATATCTGTCTGTGTTTTCTAGCCTACTAATATGTGGCTACTTTCATTTTATAGTTTGGAAATCATGGTTTGTATCTGCTGGAAAACTGAAATCCCTCCATCTTCAGAACATCTGATTTTATCCATTGAAAAAAATATGATTTTAAGTTATTAAAACTGTTTACGAAGGAATCAAACAATAACAAAAAAAGGAAAACTAAAAAAAAACCACCGCATGAGAATTATTTTCTTGTTCCCCATGAAAAATAATCACAATGGATACAAGAGTTATTTTTTAGGAACTTTCTACCAAATGAAAAAAATAGGAGTTTCTGTGGAAAACACACATGATTTGTTGCCTTTGTTGCATATTGCAGGTTCCCCAACTTGGGGTTGAACAGTTTGGTCATGTGCAGCCCCACTTGTATTTTCACGGTCAGGTAGTACGCATATGCAGAAATAAGTTCCACAACTCTCATCTTACCTCTCAGCCTTTTCAGTCTCTGCTCCCTCCTCCTCCTCCGCACGATCAGCAGCATCACAAAAAGCAGCAAGACCCCAACCAAGATACAGGAAATGGTCACCAGCATCTTTAGCCCTTCGTTGGTTGCCAGCCCTTCCTCACTTTGCACAACTGACTTAATGAGTGGAGGGATTGTACCTGGAAACAGTGTCATGATATTAGATGCCTATTAATGAAGACAAAAGATTGAATTCTCAGGGAATATGGCATGTTGTATGCTTCAGTTGCATGCAGAACATTAAGAAGGATTTGTCATGTTAACAGTGGATGCTATGTTTGCATGTGTAATGGCCATGCATATGTAACCAGTCACACTGATAACAAGCTACTGACTGCAGAGACTCACAGATTATCAGAAATCCAGAAGAGGTGCATTCATTGTTGAAAGAACACCATGCCCATTACACAGTCAAATACTATGATCAATTTAAGTCATATTATATCATTACAAAGCTGTAAGCAATCTCAGAATTACTGCCTATCTGTATTACTCCTTACTATTTGAAAATAGCACTACTGCAATGTACTCGCACTCTCTTCTGGGCTTTTCCTTTATAAGGAATGTATTTGACAAAGTTCATTTTGTGCTACATGTACCAGATGAATCCTTTGCACAGAGACATTCTTATATCATATCTGAGGGGTGTAGTAGTGATACTGATCTGAAATTCAGATAGTCAACCTAACGCTAATTTGCTAAAGAGCATCTGACATTATACTCATCAGTAAAACAGGAGAGTTACACTGGATGGAAACAATCAGATTTTGAGAATGAAGTGAGGGAAATGAATCTACAAACTACTGGCATCGCCAGGCAGCTCACTTTTTCATTTTGGGACATATTTGCATTTTGAATATACCTGGTCTTCCTGTTGATATATAATACTTGAACTTTTAAATTCTTTTTTCTTTACTTCTAAAGGACGTGAGAAGAATGCAGCACTTTCTTTGGAAGGCTGTTTAGTCATGGAAGGCTTCTTTCTCATTTCCTGATTACTATTAAACTGCTGAATGCAACCACAAATGAAGCTATAAAATGCAGATTTGTTTGAAATGGGTAGAAACATGCAAGTGTTGTGAACTGTGATGACTTTCGAAGGAAGCTATTCAATTTTAACTGTACTGAAAAGTACTGAAAAATAAAGGTGGCTACTTATTTGCTGAAAGTATAGAAGAATGAGATAGAAAAACAGGCACTTTTTTTTACAGTTCAATTGCTGCATTGTGTGATATAGTTATATCTTATTATGTACCACACAGTATCAGAAAAAGAATTGTGATATGATGTAGTACAATGTGAGTACCATAACCACAGTGAAAAGGCAGAATTCTAAGCCATGATTTTTCAGAAGAGCTATTTGAGTTGCATATAGTGAGAAGAGTAGGTCCTTTAGATTCTTTTTCTACTTTTCCATTGCAGTTCTTTCCCATATTTTTCATTCTTTTTCTAGTTTTCCACTTCTTGGAATAACACACAGTAGATTATTTTCATCTTGTCTTAACTGAGATACAGTTTTTGCACTACTCTAAAGGCAAATAAAATGATTAGATTAAGAAACTGAAAGAACTTCAGGCTTCTGAAGATAATACTGATAACTGTTTCTAAATCCTCCTAAACCCTCCTCAGTACTAAAGGGCCAAATTTTGCTCTGAATTAAAGTCACATAGACCATTGAGTAAGGACCCTTGGGTTCAATAATACCTAAAGTTATGTCTTGCTCTCCTTAATACTGTGATGAAAATCAAATTAAGAGTGACCTTAATTTCTGTTAAACCTTATGTGTTTAGGTAGGTGATTAAAATTTTCCATACCTCTTCCAAGTAAACTGTAAACCTCTGAAAGTTATATACAGCCAACAGAAGCTTAATTAAAAAAACATACTGCAAGTTTATATATCCTTCACATTATCCATTTGTGGATGTTCAGCAATTATATTAGAAATCACCAAAACGTAAACCTGCTATCCATTGAGAAAACACTATTTCAACATTTGTTGTCATTATAGGCGCTGGCTAGGAGTGAAATGATCGAAGCTTTTCTCAGAACAAAATCCCATACAAATTGGGAGTGTCGTTTATTTTTTTCCCCAGGTCAATTCACTATTGCCCTTTGTTAGCCTGCTTTACTGGTGCTTCATAGAAGTTGTAATTTGAATGTTTCTGACCCCATTTTCCCATACATTTCAGCCCTTCCAGCACCTCCCATTGCACCTTGTGACTATGAAGTGTTTTCCTGTGTCCTAACTGTTCTTCCCGGTAGGAAGTTCCCTAGTGGGCTAGAAATTAGCAGTTTAGAGCAGCTACAAAGCTGATCTGATTTAATGTCAGGGCTACTGAGTAGCTGATCTCTGAGTTGGGAAGCTCCTTTGCAGCGTTACACACTACAGCTGCACATTGCTAAAAATATCTACTTAAGTACTGAAGTGCAAATGTTCTTAAAAACAAGGGGCAGGAAGGTCATAAAATCTGTAAGCTGACAATGGTTAGCTGAAATGTCTATGAACAGAAAGCAAAAACTTGCATGTAGCTTTGTCATTAACCTTTTGACCTCATTCACCCTGAAGAGATTTAAGGTAAAGTGTACTTAGCCATGATATTTCCCAGGAGCTCTATCACAGACAACAGTCAGCTACTGCGGTACAAACAAATTGACTGAAAGACCACGTAACTCAAGGATTTCTACAAAGTTTACAAAGGCTTTATCTTAAGACTGCTAAAGCTCCTAAGCTTGTTCTTAGCATTTGGTATCCTAGAACTTTCATGCACGTATTGCCTAATCTTCAAAGTACTATCTTTCTATCTGTTTTATCCTAAGGGCAGCTGTGACCCCTGGAAGCTGGAAGGCATTGATCTCACATCACAAGACAACTCAATAGCAGAGGTAGAGTTAGCACTCAAAAGCAGAGCTGGCCAAGAAGTTTCCACTGGCATGTTTTCTGTAAATGAAAAATTCACTCTCTATGAAAGCAAACATTTCTGCATGAAGTATTGCTAGAAAATTTTTATTTCTAATCAGACACTATTTTCCAATTCTGAAATGGCATAAGCTTACGTAGTTTACCAAGGAACAAATTAATGAGGAGCTGGGAGTCTGGAGGGACAACTTCTGTTCTAGAAGCACTGAAGTAGCTCTTCTATGAAATCTCTTATGTGGGAATAGACTATCTTAATTTTCAATAATGATAATAATAATTATCATCAGTTTATCAATTTAGTTCTGCATCAAATGTAACAAAATCAGAAAATTTGACAACTGAAATTGCTTTTCCATCCATATTTTCCTCTCTTAACCTTGTGGTCAGTATTTGAGATCATGCTGCCTCTCTAAGGAACAATGTAGTCCTGGCAAAGCATGCTTGACATACAAAACCACTAATGCCGTAAATGAGAAATTTCCTACCTGACCAGAAGCAGTGGCCCAGGAAATTTAATGCTACAAATAATTTTATTGTTTCATTTTCTCACTTTTAAAGATGCCATACAGCAACACACAAAATAAAATGGCATGCAGGTCACTGTGTGTGAAACCAAGGTAAGTATCATGACCTGACCAAAAGGTAGTCTCTGACAACATTTCAAATCAGTTCATTGCAAGAATACACTTGATTTCACAGCTATCAGTGAGAACTTGAGGCTTTGGACCTGTGTTTTCATCTAATCTCATTTTAAGGTATGGCTTAAGACTGTTTGCCCCAGTTATATATATGTACCAGTAACTGTGGATATAAAACAAAGATCACTGCAAGTTGGATGTTGCCTGTAGAAAGATATCGGAAAGAAGAGAGGATAGGCTTAGTAAAGTGGCAAGAAATTAATTCATAATACTTGAAACAGTTATTATTGAAAACACCTATACTGCTCAGTGAAACAGGTCCTAAGTCTACTTGGCAAGACCATCAGCATTTGTAAATAACTACTTGGATCTTGGTTTCTTGTAGGCCTCTAAGAGTGCTGAGACTTTAATCTTTCTCTTAATTTTTTTAACCATCTGAAATAACATGAAGACTGTATGGCAGCTTACCAAAAGGATATTTTATCAGAAAAACATGAGGAGATGTGCTATTTGCAAAAGCTATGTTATTGTTAGCTATGAAGGCCTATGTCATTAATTATCTGCAAGAACTGATGGGTACCTAGCACAAAGACTGAGGTAGCATTAGAGGTTGTGTATATGCTGAGGTTTAAACCCTGTATGGTCCATATCCCACAGTTCTGACTGGTCCCTGTTGCTTGCTCTTCCCTGAATCATACATAAGTATTGTCCTGGAGAGTGCTGGTTTGCGTAGGACAAAACTGTGGCAGAAAGATGTGTTGCCAACACAGAGTTACGAACGATTAGCAATTTGGTATGGTCGCTGGACAATTATTAGCTTTGTTTGAACTTGCTCACTAGTCCTGCTGTTTAATTTGACAGTACAGATGTCACCAAGTGGTTGCATAATACAGCACAATATCCCTGGCAACACAACAACATTCTACACAGGATGTCTCCAGAAAAGCTCTGGCAGTTCACATTAGAGCAATTCAAGAGATTGCCATCTGGAGCCATCTGTACTGCCTTTTTGCCAGAAATACAGCCATTTCCCACTATAGAGCCAGCAGAAGCAGACATGTGCCACCATCACTTTAAATAAACATTCCAGAATATGAGCTGGAGTGACTGACAAATTGGCATGTTTGCTCTTGTCCTCTTGTTTTGCCTTTTGCAGAGTGGGCAGTAACCCCTGGCAGAAGGACAGGATGCAACAATTCCTTCATCCCCCATGCCCTGCTGCTGGGCATGACAGAGCCATCTGTCACGGCCATTAGTTTCACTCTCTCCTGTCTGTAAATAGGGATAATAGCATTGTCATTGCTTTGCCCTTGGAGGATGTTGTCTGGAGGGTTTCCCGGCAGACAAGCTAGTTAGCTGCTCCGTTGTGTCATATAATGTTTTTTGAGCTGTATCACAAGGACATTGCATGGAATAGCAATGAGGCCAGTCACTGCTAGGAATGACTGCAGGAACTAATTGTATAGAAGACAAAAATTTCATGGAAGAGATGCATGAAATAGTAGCAAGTGCTCTGTGACCACTGGAACTAATAACACCTAGCGTCCTATGGTTACATGTCTCATGGCTGATTGACTTTGGTGCTGGAGCTTTTCCTCAGTGAGGACAAATAAACAATTCCTCTTTTCTGCCTGGCAGCCTATTGCCATGAAATCAGTAGGCATTTTACATCTTTGTGATTGCTACCCCTCTGTCAGCATGGCTAGCAGATTCAAAAAGGGTTTTGTAGGGGACAAAAAGAAAGACAGACAAGCAAAAAAAATCACATAAGAAATGTGAATAAAAATAGTATCTCAGACTTGTAAATAAAAAGATATACTTACTGCCATCATAATTAAGTGTTGCAAATTTAGCTTGTTTCTCTGCACAGCCAGCGCTGTTGCACACTCTCATTTGCAGTTCATACCAGGTTGCCTCCTGGAGGTCATAGAGTATGTAGGACTTTGACAGGGATGTCCGCTGAGCGGTTGTCCAGACTGTTGTCCCAAATGGCCGGTACTCCAGGGTGAAGGAGGTGATGGGACAGCCACCATCATTCCAGCCTATCAGGTTCAGCTTCACTCTTGTGGTGTTGATACTAGCAAAGAGCTCTTGTTCCTTTGAAAACTGTGGCTCTAGAAGCAATGATAAATTTCAAGTGAAATGCTTAACTATTACATGTATAAGACTCTCAAAAATATAAAATTAAGAGAATAATATCTACGACAATCCTAATTTCATCTTAAACTCAATGTCTATATACTTTTTCCCTTCCCTTCCCTTCCCTTCTTAAATGTTTTTTTCACACTTTTTGTGCCAGACTTACAAACCTAGATTTTCAAATACATATGTGAAAAAAATATTCATCCATCTCTGCATGGTCTTGAGTTGCCAGTTTGCATGGATTGGCATGAGTCAGCTTGTTAATCTAGTACAGACACTTCATATAAGTAAATGCCCCTGTCCACTGCTATGCAAAAAAAGAAGGTGTTCAGAAAACCTTGTCAAAATACCACAGAAGACAAATACACTTGAAGATTGTCCACTGGTGCTCCTCTTTGTCTGCTGGTCTTCTTTTGAAGTGGAAGTGAACATAATTTTTTTTGAGAGTATGGAGGCTTTCCTTTGTGGAAATCACAGTTTTGAAGAACTTGTAAGTATAAATACAATTTTAAAAAATATTAATATGTTGATATTGCACATGATACATTTGTAAATAATATATAGCTTGAAATTTGTATTTCTCAGTTAAGATGTTTCCATTCAGAAAAGGGATGAAATTTCTATTTGCTTGTTGTCCTTTGGAATTAAATGTTGGTTTCTAATGATATATATGTTAAAGTTTTTTTGACAGTTCTACATGATACAGGAGTAATGACAGTAAAAATGGCACTGTAGTATTGAAATAATGACAACAGATGGACAAGATAGGCTACAAAAATTATCTATAATGTGCTCTTTTATTCTGTATGAAAAAGGATAACTTATGCAAGGAGAGTCTCTTTGCCGTTCTTCTGCCTTGATGAGATGTACCAAAATGTACTCTTTTCTAAATTCTACAGGAATCTAAAAGAAACTGGTGATTTCTGCTGTATATTATGAACTATTTCAGCTGGCTCTATTTATAGCTTTGGACAGGTATGCTTCTGGAGCTCTCACATAAATGAGGATGATCTCAGTATTTTAAATCATATAGTACCTGGTTTGGTCTGTAAATGTTAACACAGGTAGTTTTCAGGCATGTATATCGAGTCCTAGAGAAACTCAAAAAGCTGGGAGATCTGCTTTCTCATGAAACATTTGGATGTTATCTAAAGCATGTATAAACCTTACATTACATGCAAAGAAAATGAAGCATTCACCTTCTGCTTCTCTAAATGTTGCTTTCCTTAAGGTCAGCAGATCATTCTCCCTGACCTTAGATAATCTCAGCATGTATACAGCTGATCTGCAGCCTCCCCTGAGCTTCAGCAAGTCAGATCAATTGCATTTACTGCATACTAGGTCTTTCCTATGCCACTGAGCATCAAATTAAATGTCTACCTTGCTGTGATGCTTGCAAGAGCTGCAACAGCACAGGTGTGATGAATAGCATAAAGAAGGGCAGATGCACCTCTCACAGCAAACTATCTTTATTATGAAACTGCTCCCAAATCAGAATATTTCTTACAATTGAAGAGTGAAGAGATGCAAGATGAGGTGATCTTTAGAGCATTATGCAAATCTACTCCACTCTGTTGACTTAGAGTAAGACCTTCTAAAGTGCCTCTTTAGAAGTGTCTGTTACAAAATTTGCTCATAACCCTGACACAAACTTGCAATGTGGAAATATGTATGTCCCTGGGACCATGGGATCCATTGCTTAGTTAGGTAAGAATTTCAGAATTTTGGCTGTTTTGCCTTGTAGAGCTTTATGCAAATTTTCCCTTTATTTTTGACGCTTATCCTGTTCAAAAGGTGCTACTTGCATAGGTCCTGCAATACCAGCTTGGAGCAAAAATAAGACATTGACTCATTTTCCTCTACACATAAATATACTCCCCATCTTCCTTCAACATCCAGAAAAATAAAATCCTGAATTTTTGCAACAGGAGAAAAAACATTTTCCTTATGGCAACAGCAGTAGTTGGAATTGCAATAGCCTATGACTGTGGACACAATCCTATCCCAAATATCTACCAACCCATCTTAGAAAATAAATACCAAACAATTAAGGAAAGAATATCAGCTGATATGTGGTTCAAGTCCCACAGTGACAGCCTCTTCTGTCGCAGCAAGGACACAACTGGAAATGTTTCCAAAGCAAATAATATTAAAATATCCAACTCTGTCTTCTCATCAAATCAAGTCCTACAGCAGAATGCAACAGCTTTAGGTAAGCAAAAGGGGACGGAAATCAACATACCTTTTCCAAGTGTTTTGGCCTCGATGATCTCACTGATGCGTCCTGGACCCACTCCGTTCTGAGCAGTTAGAGTAAACTTGTACCAAGTGCCACATTTTAGTGTTTCTAAACGGTAGGATCTCTCACTAGGGCTAATGGGAAAACTACCCCACTGCTCACTGTTATCTTCCGAGTACTGCAAAATATAACCTGCAGGGAAAGCACAGATGGCAACGATAAGCCAGACACAAACCACAAATTCTGCATGTAATATGACAAGTCATTTTAAAGATCTAATAAAAGTAACAAAATCCTGTGCACAGGAAGACATACAGCTCTCCCCTGACTAAAAGATACCAGGCAACACATCTTGCCTACCCTCATGACAGATTAAATACCATTTTCATGATCGCTTCTAAGGGAAAAGAAAGGGATAGACATTTCTAAATACCCTTCAATCAGCAACAAAGAGCAGATGATGAACCTGGACCCTCAAAAATGAATAGTTAAAGATTACATGTCTGGAAAATCTGAGAGAGTAACTGTCATTACAGCTGGGGGTACACTGGCAGAAAGTCATTAAATCTGTGATTAAACTACCACAAAGAGAAACTGCAATTTACTGAAAGCTGTTATCACCATGATCATCCACATTAAGTGCTGACAGCAATACAAATTGCTTTCTTTTTTTGTGTGTGTTTTTTTTTGTAGCCATTCATAATTATATACTAATCCTATAAATATTCAATAATTTAGTAAGTAGTTACAATTAATCTGAAGTATGTTACCTCGGATAGAACTGCCACCATTGTCTCCAGGAATCCAGGAAAGAGTAATAGAGGAAGATGTAGTTTTGGATACAGTGAGTCTTGGCTGGTCTGGTGGAACTAGATGGGAAATAGTTAAAAATAGAAAATAGATTCAAATTATTAGATGTGATCTTAATCCTATCTAACAGCCATTTATCAAACAACTGTTTTGAGCTGCAAAAAATGCAAATTATTTCTGTCAAAGTGTCTGTTTAGCTGACATCCTTGGTTAAGACAAGAACAGACAAGCCCTCAATTTTTATATTTAATTTTCTACAAAATTTTGTCTTTCAATCCTTAACTCTTGCTTTTCTCTGAATTTTTTGTATCTGTCCTGTCAGATCTAAATGGCATATGAACTACCCAACTATTATTTTTTATTATTTTTCATATCTGTTTTAGAGAGAAGCTGAATTTTTAGTGGCGGGAAACAGCTGTCCACTTGCAATGATGCCCCACTCATTCATGTATTTGCAGTCTATTATGGCAAAAGTAAAAAAAAAAAGTGCATAGCAAGAGTTTCTGCTAGTGTGCTAAGTAGGTAGCATAGGTAGATCTGTGATCGAAGGCAGATCCATATCTTTTCCAGAACACATCATTTTTTCATCAAGGCTATTGGTGTAAAGACACAACTCTATCAGCAAAGGCCTAACAAACATGGAAACACTTCAGTTCTGCTGCTTCCTATAAACATCATGGCTGTGTTTAAACTGTGGGACATAAGAACCGCTCAGTTCCCAGGACCAGCTCCTGTGTCCTTCAGAGGTAAATCTAGCATGAAAAGGCAGAGAAGGAGCCATACTATACCCCAACAAGTCACCCATGGTAGAGAGAACTGGAACGGGGACTTGGGGCAGGGAACTGGGACTGGAAATGGGACTAGGAGCTGGGACAGTTTAAGCTCAGCCTAAGTGACCCCAAATTGCATGAGTGTATAGTGACTGGGTTTTCAGAGCTCAATGCTCAGGAGCAGAAAGTGGCAAAGTAGCCAGCTTTCTTTTCTACCATGACAAATCTATCATGAGCCAATATGTTCTAGTTATAGGCTGGAGACTTCATCTTTGATTTCAGTAAGGCTGTGGAGGATGGTGTTTGCTAAAATAGAGAAGAATGGCAGGTGAAACTTCAAAGAGCTAGTAGAATATTTATTAGAGCCCTGAAGGGTAAATATTTACTAACACTCACCCAAGTGTTTTACATCTGCAATTTTAAGTTCAGAAATTAAGAGTGAGAAACAGAAGTTTCTGTTTCAAATCCTTTGCACTGCTTTGGGCATGCACAGCTTCCCTGTGTCTGGCTCGTTTTACAGATTATTTCTCGAACAAGTGTCTCCAAGCTCCTCAGAAACATAGACAAAATTGAGCTTTGCTGCCTCAAGAACAAGGAGTGAGACATGGACAGTGTCCACCATGGGAAGGGATATGAGAAGCAGTGGCAAAGCTGTGATGGAAAGCCAGGGAGGAGAGACAACATGACAATTACACCTCCTCCAGTCACTGCCACTGCAAGATTGGGAAGGGAGGGTGGTGTTGGTGACCGCTGCTGGCAGGGGCTGCCATTTCCCTGATGTAGTTACTGCTCTACAGACACCAGCCTGTAAGCAAGGCAGGCCAGAGGCCACAAGTGCTCTGTCAAGTCCAGCAGACAGCTGCCAAAGGACATTGCCTGCTTTGCCTACATTTAAGGGGTAGCTCCACCTGCAGAGTGAAATTCCAAAAAACCCTCCCTGTTCTAGTTCACGTTCAAGTCATCAAATTGCAAAACAGCAAGTACTGATGTGAAGTGGAGGCTGCTGGTTTACAGCTATGGACTGATTAAAAGAGAAGTCGATTTTGCTGCCCTCACAGAGCTAAACAGTGCTGAAGAAAACAAAAAAGACAGTTTATGTCCTAAAGGAAAATTCTCTATGTGAGATGGATTTGTTCCATTATTCTGTCTGACTTGGTTGATTCCATGGAGAGAGACTGCATGCACTCCACTGTGAAAGATTTATTGTAAAGCCTTTCAGCGTAGTTTCACCGTACCTACAAAAGTTGATGGTCCCACATATTAAATGCCAGTTTTCTCTGTCCCTCAGGGAAGGGATATTGATTTGCTTTTAGTTACTGCAGTTCAATAACAGCAAGAATATGCAATTACAAAAGTACTTAGTGAAATAAAAATATGAGATTTCCCTTTGGTAGTGTTTTCTCTCACTACTTCCTGTTGCAGTCACGCTTTCCAACATTGCAGAACATGTTTAGGTTCAGTTGGACTGTAGGAAGGTTAATATCTACTATGACATTGGTTTCAAGGCTTAGTAGACTAGTTTATGCAGAGAGAGTTGCATTGCAGTTGAAACAATCTCTCTCTGTGTTCTCATATATTTGCACTAGAAATTTAGATTGCATACCAACGGACAGGAGAGTGACTGGCTGCGGCATGGCCAACATTCACTTCCCTGTGGTACAACAATCTGAAGTCAGTTGAAGCCTTCTTAGGATCTGCTTTAGTGTAAGTGAGCAAGGAAATCTGTGTAGTGAATTCTTGGTATGTGAATACATATGCTCTGTTACACTGTTAATGTGTATTCCTATATTGTAATTTTTTAAACACATATCAACCATAATGGATACATTATATACATTTCAATATGCATATAAAAAGTAGCTGGTAATACATGCTAGTTGAAGTTGTACTGATGTTTCATTTTAAATGATTCCTTATATTCACCATCAGTAAAATTCTTCTCTTGCATAATGAAGTTTTTGTCCAAGGTCTCGTTATAAGGGCAAATTTCTGTTCATAGCTTTTTGGAAGCTAAAGTAAAGGCCGTCAGCTCTTTCTGAATTTTACAGTGTTTAAATGATACAAGTAATATTTGTAAGGAGAAGGCATAAGTTGATATTTTTTGGTGAATAGCTAGAAAATAACTGAATGCAAACGCTTAGTTGTCAATTCTACAAAAGCTTACATACAGACTTAACTGCGTGTGAATTATTCCAACAAAAGCAAAATATTTGCTATATCATAAAATGCTGATGGTTGAGTTAGAATGATCCATATAATATTTTACTTATTAATTTGGAAGACTTAAATTTGTATTAATACACATGAATAGTAATATTTCACATACAGCTGCAAACAGACATACCTATGCATTACCAGTATATAGCAGTTAATAGCTGTGATAACAATTATGAGATAGATCCAAATGTCTTACCTTGTACCTGCAAATTCAAAATTATTTCATCTGATCCCCAGTTGTTACTGGCCACGCAGCTGTAGTATCCAGAGTCTTCTGCTTTCACAGTACGGATGACAAAGCTGCCATTGCTAAAGATGCTTCTTCGCCCATCAATCATCACTAGACTGGGTGTCCCGTTACTACCTCACAGGAAACAAAGTGCATACATTAAAGAAGTTACAATCAAAATTACTCAGAATTGGATTTTTTTTTGAAGCAACTAAGAATGGAAAGAAAGAAAAAGGTGAGGTGTCCTCTTTAATAAAGACAGCAAAGGAATATTTTCTGCTGTGAAACACCTGCCATTTGCTTAAAGAATGCACATATCCTGGCTCAAATTTGAGTGAAAATGGGAACTCACTCCTTCTTTAATTATCTGCTATTTCATAAAAGTGCCAAAATAAGAGTAAAAGCAGTTCCTCAATACAAAATCCATCCATATAATATAAATGCAAGTGTATAAATAATAGGTATTTGTGCCAATAACAACTATTTATGTCAATGCACAAGACGGTTTCATAGCACTGCAGTATCACTGCTTATGCAGTGCTTGGATGAAACTTACTGTCCATGTGTATTTCCAAGTGACTTTGTCAAAATGTGATACTAGAGATCAAAACAAAATAATGGAAAACAAGATACATGCAAGACTTGTACACTGCACTCCATGGCACAATTCAATGCATCAGGCATTTTGCTTTCTCAGACTACAGCTATTCTGTGTGTCTGAAGTAAAACCAAAAAAGACTCCCAGATTTAGCAACTTCAGTGTTTGCCTTTACCACTTCTTGCTAGTTTTTCCTCCCTTTTCCCCTTCTCACCACAGCCAATTAGTTTTAGTTCAACTAATTTCTGAACTCCTTGTCTACTGTGACTCTGTGCAGTGTCTGCAAATGATCTTTCTCCTTCCTGACACAATCATCTAGGATCACCAACATCACAACTCTCAGGATTTCAAGAAAATTAGCTTTATTTGAGCTATACATTTAGTTGCTGGTTACCTATCCTTCATCCATTTGACTGTTGGAGCTGGGTCTCCAACGGCTTTGCAAGGGAGGACAATGTCCTTCATCCAGGGAGTTGTCACTGTGCCACTGAATGTCAAAATCCTGGCAGGAGCTGAGCAAGAGAGAGCAAGAAAGACTGAAATGAGGTGTTCATTCATGCAGCCCTTGGAATGGAAACATGACAGCCAGAATTAAATGTGGAAAACCAAACCGATCTGTTTCAAGTTGTCCTTTTAGGAAACTAATTCCTTTTAACTCATAATATCAGCTATTTATTCAAGCACAAATATTATAATTTTTAGTACCTGGAAGACAAGTAACTGAAAGGGAGGTGGAGGTGGAGAAAAAGAGCAAAACCAGCTATTGATAATTTTTATTGATTTGTATACATTTCATAGTAGAAATTGTGGATGAAAATTATGTCCAAGAGATGCTTCTCTCTAAACTTCCAGCAAAAGTGTCCACAGCGGACAGGAATCTTATAAAAGCTAAATTACTGATACATCACAAGTGTGTTGAGTCAAAATTAATGCCACAATTAACACTACAACCATTTCAACAGTTATGTTATTAAGCAAAATAAACCTTCATGTATGTATGTGTTAGTACATTGTGAAGTCTATCATTTGAAGTCCACAAACATGAACAAACTCTTAAGTCAGTTTAATTTGCGTCAACTCTCATATCATCTAAATATATCAACAAATATATCTCTCCTGTAGTTTCAGTTTATAATATAGAGGAACATTAGGAAAGTGTTACAGCTTCATTGTATGTTATTACTCAAGAATGACCTTTGATAGAAACAGACTTCTAGTTGGCCTCTAAATATACATTTCAAAGGCACATACTGAATACAGATACATGAAATACTGTATTTTTAATCCTGATCTACTTCAGTCATGCACACTGGTGAGAATTTATACTTAATAATCCATTTTTCACCAATTAGAAAAACATGAATAGGAGAGCCAGCATCCAATATAACTGGGACAGCTCGTCTAAAAAAAGAAAAAATAGTACATGAAAGAACAGGCCTTGAAGAGTTAAAGGAAATTACTTGAGTAGGTTACAGTGGGACCTGAGATATTAAGAAAAAAGAAAAGATTTCATAGATTTCATAGATTATATGATCAGTTTGGACTGTGCTGCCTATAAGATTAAGCTTCTTGAGAGGTTTTTCTTTGGTCAAAATTTTAACTGAAAACACAAAAGTAGCTGTTTAAAGATTTAGGGTAATGGACAAAGTCAAGGTTAAGTGATGGGACAGCATTACTTTCCTAACAGTCAATCATAGACATGTCCCATTCTAGCTAAACAGAAGATGAAGACCCCTGGGTCCTTCCTTCTGGCAGCCCTAATGGTTAGCCCTGGCAGGAGGGTGCTGCTGCATGTGCTGCCCTGAGGAGATTGTACACTAAAATGATGCAAAGGCACTGGTGACTCTCATGATGCAGCCTTGGTTTTCACTGTGGCATTCCTAAGGCCATATATTCTACAAAAGATTTACACAGAACTATACTGCCACAAGCTATGGGCTAATTAACCAAGATAATAGAAACTAGTCTGCCCAGAGACATGGTGTGAAATGCTGACTCCACTGACGTAAGTGTTAGAAGGCTCAATTGTCTTCAGTGATGCCAGGTTTTCAATGCAGAAGATGCCTAATGATCCTCATGCCATCTTTGAAAAGCAGCAGGAGATGCTGTCAGCTGTGACTACAAAATACATCTGTAGGCAACCAAATTGGTCCTAGAAGCTGCAGTGCATTCTGAGGAACAGTTGTTAGAAACTCGAATTTCTGTTCCATGCAAAATTCCCTCTGTAACATGAAAAATAATTTAAAGTGCACTATTAATCCTTTTCTCCCTAGCTTTCCCATCTCTCCAGAGTTTCTCAAAATATCCAGCTGCTTCCAACTGCTGCCAGTTACTTTAGGACAAAGAATATTTAATTCAGGCATCCTGCTGATGCCTTCAGCATGACATAGCACCACTGTTAGCAAACTTTCTGTGATATCCCTTTATTTTATTTCAACAATGAATTCTTCCTTAAGTCATACATTGGATATGAGATCTCCAAAGCACAACATGATGCAGCTCTTGGTTTTCAATATCCCCCATTTTACAGTGATGTGTGGAAGTAACACAAACCTCACAGAACGCTAAGCTAGTGCTAAGATCATAGACTGTAACTCAGATGTGCACATTACAAAAGCATACAGCACTATTATTGTGAAAGTACCCACAGCTTTCTATGCACTATCTTATTCCTTTCATGTACTCAGTGCTTTTAAAAGAGATGGTAAAACAGCGGGAAAATTCTTAACTCCAATTTTCTTTATAGCTTAACTTCTAATAATGTTCTGAGACTGCTAACAGGTAAACAAAAGAAAACTAGAACCAAAATACATGTCTAGTGAAATTCACCTGAAAGCAATAGGTTTGAAATGCTAACAGGCATTCATGAGGTTAAAATACCTTGAATCTCACAGACCTCTCCCTTTTGAGCCAAGGGAGTTTTACACAGCGTGTGGGTAATTCAGCTGCAGGGTTTACCTCTTTGTTATCAAAGCTGCCCACATGCCTACTGACTACTCACCAGCCAACAGCCTTACATTAGAAGGCATGCCACTGGATTAGGACCATGTCTGTTCCTATTTTTTTGCAAATTGCTCAGTCATTAATTGAAGATAGAGAGGTGCCTTCACAGAACAGTGCACTCTCTTATGCTAATGCAGTTTTCTGCATGTTTATTTAAATTATGAATCCTATTATCTACACTTACTCTCATAGAATAAGAAACAGGCAGAAATTCTTTGCAGGAGACTGTAACACATTTTTCTCTCTTCTCTTTTTTTTTTTTTTTTTTTTTTTCTCTAGAGGACACAACCGAATTTTAAAGGCAAACTGTACAGGGAAACTGAACAAAAGCTATGACAGTTCACTGCAGCTAGGTTTAATCCAAATACAAGAGCCATCAGCGAGTACTCTGAGACAGGTGTTTCTTTCATTTACTTCCTCACAGAAAAATATACCGTGTATTCCAGTATGATGAATCATTAAAGAAACAAGCCAATAGGGTGTGTGTACTATCATGTGAGCCCCACAAGTTGTTTAAAAACATTAAACGCACAAAGCAACATAGACTAGGAGGCAAATCTGTTCAACATGAATACTGAGGTAGTCTACAAGAACAGAAAAACTCAACATTAAAGTCAGAAAGTTCTCCTCAGAGGGTCAGATTGCCATGAGTCTAGATCTGTTATCATCACATTTTTGGCAAGTGCTATTCTCCATCAGTCATGGTCAGGAAATAAGAGGAATAAAGTGCATGCAAGGTTTTCTGTCTTTTAGATATATTTGATAGGCTAAACTGACAACTTTCAAGTCAGCAATGAAGCATAATTTGAGGGGCGGGGGCATAGCCTGCTTACGCGGAGACTGAACTTTCGTTGTCGTGATTATTTTCTGTTTGTTGAGAGTTCTTTTGCTTATTTTTGTCAACTACTCAGAGAGAATAACAATCTGTTCTGAGAAACAGAGACATTAAAGAAAGAAATGTTAACTTGAATTAAGCTTTCATTTAAATTGGACTATCCATTTCACATCAAACCCTTATCTAGACATTTGCATTGTTCTCAAAGGGGTTCTTAAAGGGGTTATAATTAAGTTGACATAATTCAATTCAAAGTTAACTCTCATTAGCTGTCATGATGGTATCATTACTTGGACAGTTACTGTGAAATAACTGGAGAAAAAAGGGAAGAAAACAACCTAACAATAATGGCTCATAGGATGTTCTTGCACTGGGAACTTGTGGCAAAATAGGTTATAACTGCTTCTAACCTTTTGATGTGTTACTTTCTTCAGATGTACTGAGGGGTGAGAAAGGTCTTCAAGGCTATTAACTCCTCCCATCCTTCTTCATTGTGCATTCACTGCCCTTATCATTGATCACCACTTTCTCACAGCTCTCTAAATGTCCCAGTGATGCATTCATACAGGAAATCTTGTACATGATACAACAATTTCTAACCTGGCTACATCCAAAGTTCATAAAATTTCTATCAGTATCTCAGTGTCCATCACAACCTCCACAAATGGGCTATTCATCACTTTTTTAGTTTTAAGTGTATTTAAAAGAGGCTTGTCCTGAGCATCATCTAATGCAGACTTTACATTGCAGCATTTGGATGCATGCTACCATCTTTCAAAACAAAGTCTTGTTCACATTGACTTGTCTATATTGAAGAAATTAATTATTTTTCCTTCATGTCTTCTTCTCTTTTCATACAAGCTATTTTTAAGTTCGTTTATTTGTCGTCATGGATCATGTTAAATAAGCTTTGGAGCAGTATTAATTCCCGTTTCTGGTAAACTTGTTTTAGTTGAAGTACATGTGGGTCAATTTGTAACTTCTTTAGTTTTGGGAAGCCAAGAGCAAACAAACACTACATTTTCTCATAACTAGAGGTTATGAATTTCGGTACCTGCAAACACTGAATTGTTCCATGTTCATCTTGTCTGAACACTTCCCTTTTTTTTAAATGCATAGGAGAAAAAGAACTTCTAGTATATTATGTGCAGGAGTCCTTGCACACTTCTGGGTTTGCCTGCATCCTCATTGTATGAGGATTGCACCAAGCTTTTTTTTTTTCTTTTTTTTCTTTTTATCACCACTCATTCATTACACAAAGGTAACAACAGGTGCCCTAAAAGGAGGAGAGCACTGAAACATTTGCCCTGTCTCCCTGAGGTGCTGTTTCACAATCATCCTTCAAAGATGTCCCTTACACTCCTCATCCACATTTTAAAATCTCAATTCTGGTATCACTGATGTTCATAATGTAGTATGCAGTTATCCCATGAGAAATTCAACAATGGAAATGCTCTAGATTTTCCAGATTCTTCAGAATTTTTATACCTTTTTAGCCATCCTTCAGGTTATTTCTCTAACACTGTAGCTACTAAGAATCACAGAATCACAAAACCATCAAGGTTGGAAGAGATTTCTAAGACAGTCAAGTCCAAACATCAACCTAACACCACCATGCCCACTGAACCATGTCCTGAAGTGCCACATCCACACACTTCTTGAACTCCTCCAGGAATGCTGACTTCACAGCCTCCTTGGGCAGCCTGTTCCAGTGTTAGACCATTCTTTCAGTAAATAAATTTTTCCTAATATCCAATCTAACCCTCCCCGATGCAACTTGAGGGCATTTCCTCTTCTCCTGTCACTAGTTACATGGGAGAAGAGACCAACATCCACCTCTCTACAACCTCCTTTCAGGTAGTTGAACAGAGTTATAAGAGAAATATTCTGAAAGACTGTACAGAAAATTCCAGAAAGAAGCAGAAAGTAAAAGTGACTTTTCTCAGTTGACAGAAAAAAACTGTAAGCAATGGTATTGTGAGTAAGCATTTCTCTGCTTGTTTCCAACTTAAGCCTCTTTGCTTTGCTAGACCCTCCCCACATTTACACTGTTAAACCTTCCATTGTGATCTACAGTAGTATTATACTAGTTACTACAGGTTTCCACAATAATGTTGAAAAATATCCATCTCATATGCTAAAACATTTATCTTTGAGAAGGGACAAAGAAAAGACATACAGGTTCCCATCACAGCCTGAGGAACCCTGTTTGCAACTTGTATATATTAGGAAGCTATGTCATAGGTTGAAATAGTATGCTCCAAACACCATCACTGCCATCCATTACAATAGCTCTGATAGTTCAGCTGCTATCATCAAACTGGTTATCTACCCCCTAGGTAGGTAGAAACAGCAAGATTCCCTATGCTGACAAGTATAGTGCTTTCATGGTGCTTTCAAGTTCTGCAAAGCTTTTTTAGAAAGTATCTATGTCTAGTAAAGCCCTAGACACTGTATTTTACACTACTACATCATTAGCCACATGAATGAAGAATTAGCAGGCTTGTAAATCTGTGAAGTCAATTAAATGCATCTACCTTTGCAACTCTAGATACCTGCGCAATACATTGTTCATACTGACACATTCTGTGATGTTACCAATTTGAGTGGAAAAAACAAATCAATCTGAAGACCCCGTGTAGACATTGAGTATTGATGATAGTCTTCTCACCTTGCTGTCCAGAACATTAGGTATCTATTTCCAAGCTAAGGTCCTATAGTGCTGAAAGCATCACATCTCACAGTACAGGTAAGGCAGAAATCATGGGCTCAAGCAATATCTTTTATTAGCATAACTAATACAGCTGGGAAAAATACGTAGGATTTGAGGCACATTATCCCTTCTTCATATCTGAAATAGAAGCAGCAAACTTCAAAGCTAATGCAAGTTGAGAACAATTGCTCAGAGTTTAGATATGTTAATCAGACCATTTTATACAGAAGATAGTACTTGTGGAGTACACAAGAGATACTAGTAAGGAGGAGAACGATAAAGAAGTTAACTTGTATGGCAAGGAAAAAAAGAGATACATTCAGAAAAGGAGGGGCATCATCTGCAAACCCTCTGTACCCAACAAAAGAAGATAAAAATTGCTCCAAAAAGCAATATATTTCCTTCTAAGGTAGGTGGGATGAATTACCCCCTAGAGGAGCACGTCATTCTCTCTCTGCTGACTACAGCAAAAGCTTGGGCAATTAGCTGAGAGTTGTCACCTAACTTTTGGAGAGAAGTGAAGTTACTCCTGACAAATCCCACTCTCAGTAAGCAATGAGCCATAAAGAAGCCACGTGCCAATTATATCAGTAATTAGCATTGTAAAAATCTGGATTGCTTTAAAAAGCGCTGTCACTGTACCTTTAGCTAGAGGTTCCACAGTGATAATCTCGCTGCTGTTGCCTCTTCCCGCAGCAGTCACTGCTACCACCCAGACACTGTACTGGCGATTCCGGCTCAGGTTGGGGATTCTGTAGGAAAATGAGTCGGGAGAGGCTTCAAACTCGCTGATTACCTGTGACGGAAGAGACAAATTTTTCCAGACTAAAATAAACAGTATTTGGAGAAACTCTGCTGAGTGCTAAAACACTACAAAGACTGTTACTTCAAGGTATTTTGTATAAGTATGAACCACTCCAAAGAGATACCAGATGGCAGTAACAGAGCAGACACAATAATTTGTTGCAATCAATTTATATGCAGTGAATTTGGGCCTATGTTTTGTTTACAAATTGATTTTATCCAGATTAGGACTTTTGTTTGTCGATGTATTTTTAGAGGATTGGATGACCAATTTAAGTGAACATATATGAAATTTTTTTGCAACCAACAATTCTGAGGAATGAATTTTATTTTACACAAAACTTTCCCAACAGAGGATTTAGTCCTGCATCTTCTGTGAAATCTGGAGTTTACTACTCAAGACATGTTTTTGGTCACCTAGAACTGTTGTGCTGGTGTTCCTTATCCCTGCGTTTGGTGGCTTATCTCTTCAATAATGGAGTTAATCAAGAAATAAAACTGTATTCTGTAATAGGCTGCTCAAACTTTCCTGAGTCTAGTTTTGTTTAACCACAAAATTACTTCCATTCAAAGATTCCCAGCAGAAGGGCATCTCAGCTATTTAGCTGCATTAGCAGGAAAGGACAAATGCTGGAAGAAATGCCAGTTCAGTCTATTCTTGCACTGTCACTCAAGTGCCTGGGCTGTGGGCTGCACTAAAGCTGACTGGCTGCTAAGCAGTACTTGCTTATCAGTGAGGTGTTCTGCAGTCTGCTTGAAGTGACCTGTGTGAGGAAAGGTGCAGAAAAATATAGAGGTTCCTCTAGGGAATGTGGGCTTCATGCACCTCAGCATATCCTCAACAGGAAGCTCTACTCCTTGATGGAGAAGAGAAGCCCTGAACGTGATTACAATGTTAAAAGTAGCCAGTTTGATTTCTGACACGGGCTTTGTGACTCTTGTATGTAAAAACAGAGGGGTAATGAACCATTAGAATGAATAATAAAGACTCACTTTGCTGTGCAATACTGAGCATGGTAATGGCTAACTAACACTAGGCTAAAAATAATTAGAACGTTAATGATGTACAAGAGAAGATTTTCCTAGGAATCAGCACTAAAATTATGCATCAGTGTAATCTAAACTTGATTCAGGATGGCAGAAGGTGTGCAAGGAATCTCTTTGATATACAAATATCTGCTGGTGGTAAAGGCCAATTCTATCTGATTAGCATTTCAAAAGGTAGGTTGACCTGAAAGCATTGGAATACATAGTCTTTCAAAGTGAATTCCAAATAAATAAGGGGCATTTCTGCAGTATCATTAAACACCTCTCCAGTGTTAATTGGTAGCCAGTTTCAGCTACTGAATAGGTCACTGCATTTCTCTAGTCCTGAGCTGGCATCTGCTATAGCCAGGGAAAGGGGGGAGTTAATCTCATCTCACTTTTGAGATCTAGAGTGAAGACATCTGTATCTAAGCCAGTCACCTTGATGCCCTTCAGAGGCCATGCAAAGAAAAGGTAACCTCTAAGGCAAGGTTTTTCTGTCCTGTCTGAGATGCATACATTGCAGTGGGATGAATCATGACCTTGATATATCTATTTCCTCACAAACTATAGAAATGTCCATATAACCAGCCCAGGTATAATTGTCTGTGCTGAAGACATCTAAGTTAATGTGCTTGTTAACTAAAATACCCAACTCCCTGGGTTTTATATGAATATGTGCCTCTATTTGCTGCTACAAGAATACATCCTGTTTCCTCCATTGAGGCTAACTTTTTTGGGAGACTGGTTTGCTCCAGCTCACAGTTATCTGGACTCAACACAAGCCCAAAGAGGGGCCTTGCTGAACTTTCTAACCAATCTCATTGTTCCTGTCAAAATGCCAAGTCTGTTTGTCTCATTTAGCAAGGGTCTGCCTGGGTTTCTACTTCTGATATGAAGAGGTCAGTGCAGGCAAGCACTTCTATTATGTGAAATATTGCAGCAGGCTTTGAGAACCATCTGTCTTGACATTTACACAAGAATATTGGACAAATGCCTGTGGCTTGACAGGCTGGATCTTTGTGAGGTCATAAATAAAAATTAACGTATTGATCATGGCACAGGAGGCTGAATTTTAATATTCATGAGGCAGCATTTTCTAGGGTTAATTTGAAAGTCAAACAGGCTAGGCTGTCTCTGGCACTTAGGCTCTACTCATTAATGCAGCTATCTAGCACAAGCTACTTTTAAACCACCTATTAACAAAGGGCATGGATACAGCACTTGGGAACAGCTAACGTCATAGACTTCCTTATTGCTAAATTTTCATTCCAGCAAGCGTCAGTTCAGTTAAATTGACACTGTTTTTTCCATGTCTCCTATGGTTTATGAAAGGGACATATGTCTGCCTTTGGAAGCCACTCCTAATTCTGCAGATCTCCTGCTTGAAATGCCCTGCTGTTCTGCTCCCCTCTGCAATGGCAGAGGCTAGGACAGTTACACAGACATACACCTTGTATACAATTACTAAACACAGCTCAGAGAAATCTGGTTTGAGATTTTGTGTTTGGGATAAGCGGAAAAGGAAAACCTCAGCTTTGCACTGGCACTAAGCGCTCCTGCTCTGAGGACCAAAGTTAAAAACAAAACTGATAAACAACCCTCTGAAATTCCTTTGGTTGTAATGTCGTCAGCTAGAGGAGCAGGCAAAATTTCCTCAAAATAGAGGAGATCTCTCCCCCTGGACCTCCAAAGATGGAATAATCACAGAATTAGCTTCTCTAATGCCATTTAAAATGCCTATTTTTAATTTCTTTCTTTCATAGAATCATAGAATGTGTTGGGTTGGAAGGGACCTTTAAAGATCATCTAGTCAAACCCCCTTGGAGTAAGCAGGGACATTGTTACTAAATCAGGTTGCTCACAGCCCTATCAAGTCTGACCTTGAATTTCTCCCACAGAGAATCAGCATTATGCGCATATCTGCAAATATAGTTATTCCCAATATAAATTAAATAATTCATTGAATTACTTTGTTAATTGAATCTGGTAAATATATGTTCCCTAAACTAGTGATTCTTATTTTTTTGAAACAAACTGCTAGCAAAAGATTTTGGTTTATAACTGTTTAACATACACTTTCTGTTTCCTCAGTTAACATTCCCTTTTAAACACTTGCGGATGCTCCAGTGACAAAAAATTGATTTTACTTTTAACTTTTGCCTGTCATTTCAATTAGGCTAACATGCCAGAGACTTTCATTACAGAAGAAGAAGAAAAAAGGGAGCTTTGTCAGCAAAAAGAAGATTAAACAATTGAAACAAATATTTTAAAGGAATGTCACCTTGTCACATATTGGTCTTTGCAGGTACCAATATGAATCACAGAATCACAGAATCACAGAACGTTAGGGATTGGAAGGGACCTCAAAAGATCATCTAGTCCAATCCCCCTGCTGGAGCAGGAACACCTAGATGAGGTTACACAGGAAGGTGTCCAGGCGGGTTTTGAATGTCTCCAGAGAAGGAGACTCCACAACCTCTCTGGGCAGTCTGTTTCAGTGCTCTGTTACCCTCACTGAGAAGAAGTTTCTTCTCAAATTTAAGTGGAACCTCCTGTGTTCCAGTTTGTGTCCGAAACTTATACTGCTGTTTTATCCATAAAGCAGTATCATGTTTGCTTTTCTTCTTCTAAGAGCTTTTTTTTATGTTCAGCTCAGAGATTGTGTGTTAATTTTTCTTCTGTCTTTAGCTCACTGCCTAAGAAGCACAGACAGAGAAAGGTTTCAGAAAGCCAGCAAGGGCTGTGAAGCATAAAATGAAATCAAAGTTCTTTAACAGGGTACTGTCAATCTGCTTCTTAAACTAGGAAACAGCAGGAGATGCTGAGGAACAGCCACTACAGGGAGCATAATTTTCCTCTGATGCAGCTTCAGCTCTATTGGTGTACTTTGCTTTGTATGCTTTGAAATATTATGCCATCTCCTGGCATTTCTGACTTCTTCAGAAAGCAATTAGATGGGCAAAATGCACAAACTCTGAGCCCTCAGGCTGGTTTCTTTTTCTGTTTTGTTTGACAGTTTGTTGTGTTTTTTAATGCAGCCTGGGAAAGATTCAAATGGGTGCGTTAGAAGAAAAATAGGTTTGCAACAGTTTTCCAAGCAATCAGGGAGTTTCCCAAGCAGGGAGATAAGGTAACAGGCAGCATTTACTGTGCACTGGAAGATTATTCAATGAAAGCAAGTCTGTACCTTGGCTAGAACTGCATCCACACAATTTCTGATGTAAAACAGCTACACTGAAGATCTTTATCTCCTTGTTCTCTAAATTGTGAGGAAACTTGGAGGTGAACTGAGTCCTTATGGATACTTTAAGGACAAGAGTGAAAAGCAAGACACATCTAAGATTTCTGGTGTGTGCGTATGAGTTGGCTACCTGTATAGTGACTGCCTCACCTTGAAAATTAAAAATACATATATATACTACCCAGAGTGGCATTTGTGTTTTCACTATCAATTTAGGTATAAAATATGGCCATAGAATCATCTGAAAACAGGGCTGGAAGGACTTTGAGACTTCACCCAAGTCTATCCTCCTTTTTAAACCAGGTTCAACAAACTGTATCTGCACAATTTCAGACAGATATTTGTCCAACATGATTTTGCAAGTCCCTATGCTGCAAGAGCTATTCCATTGCTTAACTAATCTTACTATTAGAAAGCTTTAGTGAAGTCAAGCTTGAGTTTTTTGCTGCAGTTTAAGCCCATATCTTCTTTTCCAGTCTATTAGGAACATGTAGAATAGATTATTACCATCATCTTTGCATCAGTCTTTAATGTACATGAAGTTTTATCACCATCTTCCCCACCAGTACGCTTGTCTTTCTACAACTTAATAACCCTGATGCTTTCAACATTGTCCAGAAATCACATTTTGTCTAACAGTTTCTCTAATAGTATCTGCTGTTATCCTTTGGACTCTCTAACACTGGTCCATAGCCTTCTTGAATACAGTCTCCAAACCTGTA